ACTTTCCCCACACTGTGGGGGTTCCAATTTTTTTCTAGGGTGCTGGCAGATTACGGGCCCCCCCATCTGCCAGGGCCCTAATCTGCCATGGGGCCCCTGTTACGGCGCCCCCGCCCGTCCTCGAGTGGGGGCCTGCTGGCCAGGTGTCCGCAACAGTGTCCGGTCATGGGCCAATTGGTGCCACTGGACAGTGCTCGCTCACACTGCAGGTGTGTTCCCGAGTTGAGATGAGATGTCGATAGGTGGGGCTGACAGATTGTACGGCCTCCCATGGAGCTGGGCTGCGCAGGCGGGCCCGAGCGGGATCTGCGCGACGGTGGGCCCGCTTACCGACGCGCTCGGGGCCGCGCGCCTCCGTCATGCTGCGAGGGCCGCTAGTCACAGTGTGGCGGTCATGCCAGTGGTGCCACTTTTGGCCCCAGGGTCTCCGTCAACAGGCGGCTGGGTGTGGTTCCATTTTTTGTCATAGTGGGGTGCTGGTGCAAGATTACGGCCTCGCGCATTGCGTGGCTGGCCAGGGAGGCCCGTTCTCTGCCGATGGACCGCCATAACGCCTGCCTCACACACTGCTGTGTGTTCCATTTTGTCATAGGGTGCTGGCAGATTTACGGGCCTCCCATTGCTGCTGCCAGGCCCGTAATCGCCATGGGCCCCGTACCGGCCTACCACCGCCTTCCTCATGCTGCTGCCAAGGTCCAGAGGTCTCTCATGGGTCCCTGTACCGGCCTCCCATTGCTCCCGCTGTCTCCATCGCCACACTCTGCCATGTGCCACTTTTCAGGTCTCCTCACACTGCTGTGTGTTCCATTTTTTTGTCATAGGGTGCTGGCAGATTACGGGCCTCCCATTGCTGCTGCCAGGCCCGTTAATCTGCCATGGGCCCCTGTACCCGCCTCCTCATGCTGCTGCCAGGTCCAGAGTGTCCTCATGGGTCCCTGTGTGTCACGGCCTCCCATTGCTGCTGTCTCCATCGCCACACTCTGCCATGTGCCACTTTCAGTCTCCTCACACTGCTGGTGTGTTCCATTTTTGTCATAGGGTGCTGGCAGATTACGGGCCTCCCATTAGCTGCTGCCACCCGTAATCTGCCATGGGCCCCGTACCCGCCTCCTCATGCTGCTGGGGTGCCAGGTCCAGAGTGTCTCATGGTCCCTGTACGGCCTCCCATTGCTGCTGTCTCCATCGCCACAGTGTCTCATGGGCCTGTACGGCCTCCCATGGCCACCACTTTCAGGTCTCCTCACACCACTGCTGGTGTGTTCCATTTTTTGTCATAGGGTGCTGGGCAGATTACGGGCCTCCCATTGCTGCTGCCAGGCCCTGTAATCTGCCATGGGCCCCTGTACCGCCTCCTCATGCTGCTGCCAGGTCCAGAGTGTCATGGGTCCCTGTACGGCCTCCCATTGCTGCTGTCTCCATCGCCACACACTCTGCCATGTGCCACTTTCAGGTCTCCTCACACTGCTGCTGTTCCATTTTTTGTCATAGGGTGCTGGCAGATTACGGGCCTCCCATTGCTGCTGCCAGGCCCGTAATCTGCCATGGCAGACCCTCATGCTGCTGCCAGGCCCGTAATCCGCCCCCGTACCGCCTCCTCATGCTGCTGCCAGGTCCAGAGTCTCTCATGGGTCCCTGTACGGCCTCCCATTGCTGCTGTCTCCATCGCCACACTCTGCCATGTGCCACTTTCAGGTCTCCTCACACTGCTGGTGGGTTCCATTTTTTGTCATAGGGTGCTGGCAATTACCGGCCTCCCATTGCTGCTGCCAGGCCCGTAATCTGCCATGGCCCCTGTACCGCCTCCTCATGCTGCTGCCAGGTCCAGAGTGTCTCTCATGGGTCCCTGTACGCCTCCCATTGCTGCTGTCTCCATCGCCACACTCTGCCATGTGCCACTTTCAGGTCTCCTCACACTGCTGGGTTCCATTTTGCATAGGGGTGCTGCCAGATTACGGGCCTCCCATTGCTGCGCCAGCCCGTAAATCTGCCATGGGCCCCCGTACCGACTCCTCATGCTGCTAGCCAGCCCGTAATCTGTCATGGGCCCCTGTACCGCCTCCTCATGCTGCTGCCAGGTCCAGAGTCTGTCATGGGTCCCTGTGTACCGGCCTCCCTATTGCTGCTGTCTCCATCGCCACACTCTGCCATGTGCCACTTTCAGGTCTCCTCACACTGCTGGTGTGTTCCATTTTTTGTCATAGGGTGCTGGCAGATTACGGGCCTCCCATTGCTGCTGCTGCCAAACCCCTAATCTGCCATGGGCCCCTGTACCGCCTCCTCATGCTGCTGCCAGGTCCAGAGTCTGTCATGGGTCCCTGTACGGCCTCCCATTGCTGCTGTCTCCATCGCCACACTCTGCCATGTGCCACTTTCAGGTCTCCTCACACTGCTGGTGGGTTCCATTTTGTCATAGGGTGCTGGTATGGCATCCCATTGCTGCTGCCAGGCCCGTAATCTGTCATGGGCCCCCGTACCGACTCCTCATGCTGCTGCCAGGCCCAGTAATCTGTCATGGGCCCCTGTACCGCCTCCTCAATGCTGCTGCCAGGTCCAGAGTGGCTGTCATGGGTCCCTGTACGGCCTCCCATTGCAGCTGCTGCCTGGCCCGTACTCTGCCATGGGCCCCCCGTACCGGGAATCCTTGCTGCTGCTGCCAGGCCCGTAATCTGTCATGGCCCCAATGTACGGCCTCCCATTGCTGCTGCCAGGCCCCTAATCTGCCATGGGCCCCTGTACCGCCTCCTCATGCTGCTGCCAGGTCCAGAGTGTGTCATGGGTCCCTGTACGGCCTCCCATTGCTGCTGTCTCCAGGCGCCACAGATTCTGCATGTGCCACTTTCAGGTCTCCTCACACTGCTGGTGGGTTCCATTTCTGTCATAGGGTGCTGGCAGATTACGGCCTCCCATTGCTGCTGCCAGGCCCGTAATCTGTCATGGGCCAATGTACCGCCTCCTCACATGCTGCTGCCAGGTCCAGAGTGTGTCATGGGTCCCTGTACGGCCTCCCATTGCTGCTGTCTCCATCACGCCACACTCTGCCATGTGCCACTTTCAGGTCTCCTCACACTGCTGGTGGGTTCCATTTTTGTCATAGGGTGCTGTATGGCCTCCCATTGCTGCTGCCTCCACCGCCCACACTGTGGCTCCACACTCTGGTTTTGGCCCCGTGACTGCCCAAATGAGTGAAGTGTGCGGTGATTCTAAGATCTACGGCACTCATCTGCATGTCATACTGACTGACAGTATTATTTCTCTTCCCCAGCAGACTCCAAGGGCATTTAAAATTAAAGGTACAGTGTTCTGCACTAATATATAAAGGCTCTCTGAAGCCTAGAAACACCCTTTTATAAGTTAAATTCGCAGCGAATATATTCGACTCGAATCAAATTTTTTCCACGAATTCACCGAATCAGTCGAATCGAATTTTTGAATAATTCGCTCATCTCTAGTGTTGACTACAAAAGAGGGTGAAGAAGGTGTCGAACACCCTGAAGCAGACGTGTTAGAGAGAAGCAGATGATATAGTTCTATTAGTAGATGGACTGAGATACTACTCAAGATGTCCATAACTTTTGTATCTACAAACCGCCTGGAAAATCTTCCTTTTAATAGGTTGTCTCACAGTGATATGTGTTTTCTCCCAATTTGGGTGATTAGTAAATGTTCTTATCAACCGCAGGGCTTGATGTACATTTATCCGCAGCCCAGGCCCGGATCTAGGGGGGTGCTGGGGTGGGCTTTGCAACCTCAGATTTTACTTGTGTACCCCCCATATCTCTGAGAGAGGATACAACTGATCCATGACACTTGATGGAGACAATTGATGTAAAGCAGCACTCTGATGAAGACACTTGATGTAAGGGAGGACTCTTATAGGAACCATGATCTAAGTGGGAACTCTGAGGACTCCTGATGTAAGAAGGGACACTGATAGGGACACAGGTTCTGTTTTATCATGCTAATACATACTAGTGTTCTCTCAGCACTACCTGTCAGATATTATTTCCAGGTTGTGACTCCATAGTACAGAAGCATACCAAACGAACAGGGAATAATGGTTCCATGCATCACTGTCACACTATTTTCATTATGGCCCTCGCCTTTTTTCTACTGCACCCCCAGATCAGGATAGATCCGGCCCTGCCGCAGCCCCACGAGACTGGTCCCTTGCCCCAACACAGACATCCACGTGAAACTGTAATAATACAACCAGAAAATGTCTGGGTTCATATGACAAGCAGAGTGATGAATGTTTCCAATTTCATTCTGTCAGATACAGTAATGCTACCGTTATAATTTATAAGTTACAGTTGTGTTCAAAATAATAGCAGTGTGTTGAAAAAAGTGAATAAAGCTGAAAATCCTTCTAATAGCTTTTATTTCCATCCACACAAATGCATTGGGAACACGATACATTCTATTCCAAATCACAACATGAAGAAAAATACATCAAAATTTGTGTTGTTCCTCTAAAAAAAATGGAAGAAAAGTGAATATTAGACGGTTCAAAAAAATGGCAGTGTTTTTGTATTCTTCTTTACAAACTCCAACATTCACTATATAAACTGAGAAATGTTTGAAGATTTTGCTTTCCTTTGAATGACTTCATGAATATTTTGGTTGTAGTCGCACTGTGTTTCTCTGAGAACTGCTGTACATCTGTGTTGCATGGAGTCACCCAACTTCTGGCACCTGTGATCAGGTATTCCAGCCCAGGATGATTGGACCACATTCCACAGTTCTTCTCTATTTCTTGGTTTTGCCTCAGAAACTGCATTTTTGATGTCACCCCACAAGTTTTCTATTGGATGAAGATTCGGGGATTGGGCTGGCCACTCCACACAACGTCCATCTTGTTGGTCTGGAACCAAGATGTTGCACGTTTACTGGTGTGTTTGGGGTCGTTGTCTTGTTGGAACACCCATTTCAAGGGGCATGACCTCTTCAAGTATTCTGATGTAATCAAACTGATCCATGATCCCTGGTATGTGATAAATAGGCCCAACACCGTAGTATGAGAAACATCCCCATATCATGATGCTAGCTTTGCACCACCATGCTTCACTGTCTTCACAGTGTACTGTGGCTTAAATTCAGTGTTTGGGGGTCGTCTGACAAACTGTCTCCGCCCACTAAACCCAAAAAGAACAATCTTACTTCCATCAGTCCACAAAATGTTGCACCATTTCTCTTTAGGCAGTCAATGTGCTCTTTGGCAGATTGTAACCTCTTCAGCACACGTCTTTTTTCCAACAGTGGGACTTTGCGGGGACTTCTTGCAGATAGCTTGGCTTCACATCGGCGTCTTCTAATTGTAACAGTCCTCACAGGGAACGTCACACCTTCTTTCATCTTCCTGGAGCTGATTGTTGGCTGAGTCCGCGCCAGATTTTGGCTATTCTTCTATCCATTCCAATGGTAGTTTTTTCGCTTTCTTCCACGTCTGTCAGGTTTGGTTGCCATTTTAAAGCATTTGCAATCATTTTAGCTGAGCAGCCGATCATTTTCTGCACTTCTTTATATGTTTTCCCCTCTCCAATCAACTTTTTAATCAAGGTACGCTGTTGTTCTTCCAAACAATGTCTGGAACCACCCATTTTCCTCAGAATTTCAGAGAGAAATGCACTGTAACCAGCATGTCCAACATTTGCTGCCTTCCTTCCTTAAATAAGGGCAATAATTGCCACCTGTTTATCAAAGAATGAATGACCTCACTAATAGAACTCCACACGGCTATTATTTTTGAACACGCCCCTTTCAATGAGTGATTCAATGACACAGAATCAGCAGCATTGCATGTCATGACTGTTGGGTCTGTTGGATTTCTATTGTTCATGTACATGTACAGTTTTTTATGTTCAGTTTTGTTATTTAATAATGATTACTTTGTGTTTTTTTCCTGTTCACTTCACTGCCTGAAGCTTTTGAAAGTAATTATAGGAGCCATATCCATTTCTACAGCTCATCATATGCAGCTACGCTCCCCTGCTAAACAATTACAAATGCTGAGACACTTGAAGTGGTTGTGAACGGGTCCGGCACTCCGGCAGGAGACACACTTACAAGCAGCAGACTTTCACAGAATGGAAAGGTTGTGGGTGGCTCAGGCGCTAGGTTGGGCAGTAGTAGGACGGAAGGCAAGGGTGCTCATTGTAATCACAACAACCTGGCATTAGAATTCATCTCTGAGTGCAACGATGATATGGGACGTATGGCTACCGTGGTCTTACAGATCTCGAATAAGGATCTCCAACTCACCAATGTCTATGCCCCCAACTCCCCTGGCAGACCCTTCTGTAATGCTGCCAGCTAATTGGATATTTCATAATCCCAGTATGCATCAGATAGATGGAGAGACTAACACAGTAGTAAATGATGATAGAGAGGACAGGTCAACACAAGGCCCACACATTGCAAAGGTGTCTACAGACTCTTCTACACCATTCAGCACAGGTGATTTCTGCCATTGGATTATTAGACCCCTGGTGATTGGCGGACCCACACACAGGGAGTTTACTTTCTATACTCACAATTACATTTGCCAGGCTAGACAATCTTTATTGCAGCACTTCCCTTTTCCCCTCATGTCCATCATACGGCCATACACGACTTGATTATATCAGACCATAGCCCCTCTATTTCTTTGGCTGACCCTCGAACCACAGGCCCCCCAAATATCTGGAGATTTCCTTCCTATCTGACATGTAAGGTGGACTTCATACACGCTGGTAGGAATGCTTGGCTAGAGTACACCACCACTAATGAATCCCATCAATGTGACCCACACTTGTTCTGGGAAGCTGCCAAGCCTTTTATTAGGGGAAGGATTATTTCATGTTTCCTCATATAAAAGAATGCTTTGAAAAATTACAGAGAGGCCTGTGAAAGGCTTCGGGAGGGTCAAGTACTCAACAGAATACCTCTGAATGCAGAAAGCATTGGCATGAAGCCAAACACCTTTTTGATCTTTGGGTAGGAGAATTACAAACATATAAATTGTTCCTCTGCTGATTCACAATTGTGTAAATATGGTGATAAGGTGGGTAAGCAAAGGGTCTTTCCAACCAACTCATGTAGCCTCCTAAAGGATACTTCTGCTACCCTTGTCTCCTCCTCAGAAGAAACCAATATAAAACACTGGAAGATATTTGTGCCACTCTATATCTAGATCCAAGACCTTGAGGTGACCACAAAATTCTTAGACTCACTTCATTTACTCACTATTGGCCCCTCCCACCTGCAATCTGTAAATGTCCCTATTTTATTAAAGGAAGAGTCTGAGGTGATTAAAGGCTTACCTAGTGGGAAATCACCTGGTCCTGATGGCTACACACCAGCATTTTATAAGATGATGGACTCTCTTCATCCCTCAGCTACTGGCAGTATATAACAAAGGTTTGGGAGGGGCCCACAAATTCTGATGGGGTCACCAAAGACTATGAAATTGATATTTAATAAGGGCAAGTACCCAACTGAACTGAGGTTGTACTGAACTATATCCCTCCTATAAGTGGACACATTCTTCTCTCTGAAATAGTAGCATTCTTCTTGGCTGCAATATTACCCTCCCTTGTCCATACTGCCCAGGCTGGCTATATTAATGGTAGATCCAGTGGCTTCCCAACATTCAGAAAGTTATTGCAGTGCTGGAACAAGGCAAGGTACACCCCGTCTGAGGATCGAGCTATTTATTACATGGATGCCTGAAAAAGTCTTGGATAATGTCAGCTATCATTGGCTTGCTCTGGTTCTTCGTGATGGCTTTTCAGCAGTAAGGATTCTGCAACCTTCACCAAGGGTGGTAGCTGCAGGTCTCATATCAGGTTGAAATATTGCTGCACGAAGGGTACTCACCAGGGTTGCCCCCTTTTTCACCTCTTCTTTTCAACCTTGCCCTGGAACCTGTTACCTTTCCTCCAGAGCCCCAATTACATGGGATTCAGACAGGTCAAGAAGAACTCCATTTGCTGATGATATTTTTTATGGCGGGTCCTGTGGCAGATATTCACATTCTCCATCACGGTCTTCACAAGCTGCCTACAGTGCTCCTGGCCTTCCAATCAATTCCGCTAAGAGTGGAATACTTTCCTTATCTCGAACCAACACCCCTCCCTGGGCCCAGCAGTCTCTCTTTTCAAGTAGCAAATGTTCAGATCATACTATACCCCAACAAACACCTACAACCCAACCCCACCAACACAAACAAAAAACCCCACCCCCAAATTCTAAGGGGCTCTCCTGCAACCCTCCCTGTATGAACACCAAACTATCAGGAACTTTGAAAATCTTTCCCCCTTGCATCAACCATGCCCTGCCAAGCCATCCCCCCCTCTACTACCCACCCCCCCACCCCCTAAACTGGTGCCCAGCCCAAGCAACAATGTTCTCAAACTTCCATATCTGATCGCTTCTACAGGAATGGAAATACTCCGTATCTGACATCTATCGACCTTTACACTCTCTCTTTACTAAACTGCTACATCCCACATCTCATTCAGCTGAGAAAACCCACATCCACAAAAAATCCCGCAGGAGCTTGCAGAGGATATTATTATGTTTACTGGTGGCCCACAGAGCTATTCCTAAGAAATGACTAATCGTCTTGTCCCCACCATCACAGACACTGATCTACGTCTTCTGATTTACAGAGAGAAGGTAGACATGGAGCTCAACAACAAGCCTCAGTCAAAACATTTCCATAATAGATGGGACACTTTTATTGCAGCAAACACTTACATCCTTGGAGCAATCCTCTATGTTGTTCTTCTTTTACTTCTATGGATGGGTTTGTCAAGGTGTTTACATTGTAGAGATCAGACAGCCGTGTATGGAACACGCATTGAGGACACGCATACATAACAGGTGTTACTTGCTCCCCCATCTGGGCCGTGTATATCTTGGTTTTCTGGTTCATGACGTTGTCATTCTTTTGCTCTCCTGATTTGTCTGTGCGCACTCATGGCCGAACCTTACTTCCTTGGCTTTATCATGACATCTAGGAACATTATGACATTCTGCTCACTCTCACTTATGGGAGTTGGGAACAAAAGTCTCAGGAGAGTCCATCCATGTTTTCTGATCAGGTATCACACCCGGTCACACCTCCAGGTCAGTTCCTGCCAGAAGATTCCTTCCTCTTTCTTTATTGGAGAGATTATAATTATTCATTGGCTACTGTGATTTATCTTTTATATTCAGAAGTCATGGCAAGAAGTATGAGCTACTCGTCTCCTCTTTCACCCCAGACATATTGCTTCTTTGTATATCTCTTTAGAAAACTGAAAAAAGAATGTTAAAAAAATGTACTCACCAATGACAGTTAATGACTCCATTTTTATTCTTCTCCTGCTATCAATAGCCAATCCGGTCCCACACTTCATCCGTGTCTTTGGGGGGCTTCTGATCTCCTTATGAACTGTTTCTTCCATGAAGAATCAGCCATGGAGTATATCTGAGGTGTATATCAAGGGTGTGCGTTCTTCCCCACATGAGAGGCTGGGATGTCCAGCAACATTCATCTAGAAGACATTTCCCACACTCAGGCACTAATACACCTCGAGGGTTGTGTGGGACCCCTGATGTGTGTAAAGATGGGACATCTGTGAAAAACATTTCTCGCACTCAGAACAGGAATATGGCTTCTCCCCTGTATGAGATCTCTGATGTATGTAAAGATGGGACTTCTGTGAAAAACATTTCCCGCACTGAGGACAGGAATGTGGCTTGTCCCCAGTGTGCAATTTCTTATGTCTGTAAAGATTAGACTTATCTGAAAAACCCTTCCCGCACTCAGTACAGGAGAACCTCTTCCCTGTTGGAAGGCTGGCCCGGTCCCGCACAGTCTGAGGTTCCTCAGGATATGAGGGAATCCGATGGTCCATCTACACTGGGTGGTGCCAGGTGATGAACATTGGAGGGAGCCGGGTTTTCTCCTGGACTATACTGTGTGATGTCCTCATCTTCTACTTTCCAGTCTGGAGACAAAGTGAGACGATCCTCGGAGGTTTTCCTCATCTCCTGGCCATGGACTAAAATACAAAGACAAAGAGGATTACTAGACAGGAGCTGATTGGTTCCCCAAACCAGGACTCCGCCCACATCAGGCAGCTTGGTCTCTGAGGAGCTTACAATTCCACCCTCAAGGGAACTAGGAAATGGCTCCTCTGATCTCCTACCAGGTCATTTCTTTATTCATGGACCTTAGTCAAGAGTGAGGAAACAACCAGAAAACTGTCTTTTATAGGAGGGACAGTGATGAGGGGATTATAGGACGAGGGTCCCCACCCCCTCTATCACTCATCGCCATCTTCCCAACACAAGAAGTACTGCACTTCCTTATTTAGTCCATGATTTAGTCATGAAGAACAGCGGGCTGAGCCCCCACCAGAGGTCAGAGAGTGAGGATGGGGGGGAGAACAACCAAGATGAAGAACTGGACTGATCCTGAAGACCACCATCATTGGGGTATTGACTCCTCCCTCATTATCACTCTCTGTTTAAGGGTCCAAAGTTGGAGGATGTTATCACATTATTATCACCATGTAAAAGTCTGTGCTCCAATCACATCATCCGATATAAAATGTCCAGCTGGTAGGAAATGGGAGCAAAAGAAGAAAGGCCGATGTAATATAAACATATTGTATAAGATACATCAGATAGGACTATATAGTATCAAAATGATGTAATGTACAACATAGATTATATAGTGCAGGGGTCAGGAGTATGTAATGTACAACACAGATTATATAGTGCAGGGGTCAGGAGTATGTAATGTACAACATAGAGTATATAGCGCAGGGGTTAGGAGTATGTCATGTACAACATAGAGTATATAGCGCAGGGGTTAGGAGTATGTCATGTACAACATAGAGTATATAGTGCAGGGGTCAGGAGTATGTAATGTACAACATAGAGTATATAGTGCAGGGGTCAGGAGTATGTAATGTACAACATAGAGTACATAGTGCAGGGGTCAGGGGTATGTAATGTACAACATAGAGTATATAGTGCAGGGGTTGGGTGTATGTAACTTGCAATATACCATATACAGTATACGGGTCAGGACTCATATTATAAGCATTTAGCTGAAGTTTAAATGTTTACTGTAGACAAGTTGCAGAGATCCCACACCACTGCCTCCCATCTCCTGAGACTGCACCAGTGACTTGGGTCTGAGACTACAGACATATCCCTCCACCCGGCACAACCAGCAGATCTTGCTAGATCCGGGCATTGGTAAGAACCCCAAGTCACAAGAAGATGAACACTTTACTGGCAGCTGAACCCCAGAATCAATATAAATCCAGTCTAGATACAAAGATCCATGCCGCCGAACCCAGCAGATGACCCCAGCCTGGTGAGGCCTACCATTGCCCTCCACTTTGCAACTCTGCCCGGACCTGTTGAGCCCAATGGACAATCTCAGCCTGGTGAGGCCTACCATTGCCTACCCGGCACAACCCTGCCCTGAACCGAAGCCTATCCGATGACCCTGGGGAACACCTCCACTGCTGACGCTCACCCAGCATCTCCTCAAGCCCAATGGACGATCTCGACCTGGTGAGGCCCACCATCGCCTACCCCGGCACAACCCAGCCCTGACCCGCAGCCCATCAGACATCCTCCCCGCATCTCCTCAAGCCCAATGGTTGATCTCGACCTGGCGAGACCTACCATCGCCTACCCCGGCGCAACCCTGCCCTGACCCGAAGCCCATCCGATGACAACTGGCCGAACTGAACTCTACCCATCCTGATCCTAACCACGAGAACTCTTGTCACGGAAAGGTACAACTATGAGATATGTCACCGCACGCCAACAATCTACAACCAAGCGCCACGAGAGACTTTCCACCTCACTTGTCTGCCACCTCATTTACCTCCCTAAAATACCACCTGTACTCCCCCTCCTCATACTCTTCTTCTCCGTCCCCAAAATCTCTTCTCTCTATCCCCCCGATCCTCCCAAACAACTATACATCGCCCCCTCACTGCTTCTATCTCCCCCCTACAGCTCTCACTACCTTCTCCTGTTACTCCACTCTCCCACTGACCCGAACGCCACCAATGACAGAACCACACACTCTTGTACATCCCTCTCCCATGCCACCTTTCTCACCCTTCTTCTCCTACTAACCGCGGGGGACATCTCCCCGAACCCTGGTCCTCCACCTCACTCACCCACAAGGCACCCACCTACTTCCCAGAACTGCTGCAACCCCCCTCAACCTAATACCGGTCCTCCTGCTCCCTAAAACCACCCCTCCATTTTTGTGTGCACTCCTGAACGCCCGCTTGGTTTGCAACAAACTTACCGCCATCCACGACCTCTTTGTCTCCCGCTCCCTCAACCTCCTGGCGATCACCGAAACCTGGATCCAAACCACCGACTCTACCTCCCCTGTAGCACTCTCCTATGTAGGTCTCATCTGGACCCCACTCACCCAGATCCAGCGGTCGGAAAGGTGGTGGGGTTGGTATGCTCCTATCCCCCTCAGCCCCTCCCAAATCCTCCCAAACCCTCCCTCTCTATCCTTCTCCTCCTTTGAGGCCCACTGCATCCGATTATTTCTCTCCAGTCCCTCTGAGGATCGTAGTAATCTATTGGCCTCCTGGACCCGGCTTCCGCGACGACTTCTCCGCCTGGTTACCCTTCTTTCTCTCCTCTGAGCTGCCCACCATCATCCTTGGAGACTTCAACATCCCTACCAACATCAATAGCCCGGCCACATTCCAACTCCTCCACCTAACCTCTTCTTTTGCACTCGCACAGTGCATACAGTCCTCCAACCACTCCTATGGGAACACCCTGGACCTTGTTTTCTCTCATCTCTGCGCCCCCCACAACCTCACAAACACCCCCTTTTCCTCTCTCTGATCACAACCACATTACCTTCTCCATCTCTTCGTCCTCAAACACCTATCCCTCCAAACATTAAACCATCACCAGCTGTAACCTCCGCAACCTGAACCCGGGCCCTCTCCACTCTGCAGCTGACCAACTCTATGACAGTATCCTTCCACTGTCCTGCCTGACCTGGCCACTACTGTTTATAACAACTCACTGTCAGCCACTCTTGACTCCTTAGCACCCCTAACCACATGTAACATTAGACCCCGACTGCTTCAACCCTGGCAGAATGACCATACCAAAAACCTCAAGCGACGCAGTCGCGCGCTGGAGTGACTATGGCGCAAAACCAGATCCCAACAAGCGTTCAACCGATATAAATCCGCCTTCCTCACCTACACCTCCTCCCTCCACGCTGCCAAGCAAGCCTACTTTGTAACCCTCATCAATACCCTCTCCTCCAGCCCTCACCGGCTCTTCTCCACCTTCAACTCTCTGCTCTCTCTGCCCCCTCCTCCACATGACCACTGCTCAGACTTCCGCCCCAACTAGCATCCCTCGCACAAAAACCCCCTCAACACCCCTCTTCTTCGACCTAGCCACTGTCCAGACCTCTACCCCGCCCAACATTCCCCACACTCAAACCCCCTCAACACTCCACTCCTTCGACCTTGCTACCACTGAAGAGGTCACTAAGGTCTTCTTTGAAGCTCGCCTTACCACCTGCCCCCCTTGACCCTGTCCCCAAGCAACTCCTACGGTCACCCTCCTCCTCCATCATATGCTCCCTCACTCACATCTTTAATCTCTCCCTCTCTACTGGCGCATTCCCCTCTCCTTTGAAGCATGCGCACATCACTCCCATACTTAAAAAGCCCTTCCTGGATCCCACCGACCTAAACAACCTTAGACCCATTTCCCTGCTGCCATTCTCATCCAAACTCCTTGAACGCCTAGCCTATAATCGCCTAAGCTCCCACCTCACCGACAACAACCTCCTTGATCCCCTATAGTCCGGCTTCCGTCCCCTACACTCCACCGAAACTGCCTTACTCAAACTCACCAACGACCTGCTAACTGCCAAAGCCAAAGGCCACTAATCAGTGCTATTACTCCTCGACCTCTCTGCGGCTTTCAACAGTTGACCACCCCCTCCTCCTCAAAAAACTGTACTCTTTTGGCCTCAGAGACTCCGCTCTCTCCTGACTCTCTTCCTATCTATCACAACGCTCCTTCCGAGTTACCTATAATACTGACACCTCCCCCCTCACTCCCCCTCTCTGTTGGGGTCCCCCAAGGTTCTGTCCTCGGGCCCCTTCTCTTCTCCATCAACACCTTCCTTGGCCAACTGATACACTCTCACGGCTTCAACTACCATCTCTATGGCGATGACACTCAAATCTATCTCTCCACCCCTCGCCTCACCCCTTCAGTCTCCGCCCGAATCACTAGCCTACTGAACGACATATCAGATTGGATGTCGCTCCACTTCCTTAAAATGAACCTCTCCAAAACCGAGCTCCTAGTTTTCCCCCCAGCCCACGCACCCCCCCCACTGACTTCTCAATCACATCCAACAATGCCACCATCAAACCCACCCCGCAGGCCAGAGTACTTGGTGTCATTCTAGACTCCAATCTGTCCTTCCAGCCCCAAGTACAATCTTTAACAAACTCGTGCAGACTCCACCTCCGCAACATGCAGACTCCACCTCCGCAACATGCAGACTCCACCTCCGCAACATCACCAAAATCCGCACGTTCCTAACCCCAGAAACCACTAAACAGCTCATCCACTCCCTCATCATATCACGACTCGATTACTGCAACTCCCTCCTCACTGGCCTGCCTCACCGCTGGCTATCCCCGCTTCAGTCCATCCTGAATACGGCTGCCAGACTCATTCACCTTTCCAATCGCTCCATTTCCACCACCCCCCTCTGCCAATCCCTCCACTGGCTTCCGATTGCCCAACGGATCAAATTCAAAATGCTAACATTGACGTACAAAGCTTTCCATAATACTGCCCCAAACTACATCACCAACCTAATATCCAAATACTGAAGGAGCGTTGTGATAGGTAGGACAAGAGCCAGAAGAGAGCGGAGTTTCTGAGGCCAAAGGAGTGTAGTTTTTTGAGGAGGAGGGGGTGGTCGACTGTCGAAAGCCGCGGAGTTGTCGAGGAGTAGGAGCACTGAATAGTGGCCGTTAGCTTTGTTCGGGTCAGTGGGGTCCAGGGAGGGCTTTTTAAGTATGGGGGTGATGTGTGCACATGCTTTAGTGGGGAGGGGAATGTGCCAGAAGAGAGGGAGAGATTAAAGATGTGGGTGAGGGAGAGTAGGATGAGGAGGAGGGAGATCGTAGGAGTTGTGAGGGGACAGGGTCGAGGGGGCTGGTGGTGAAGCGGGCTTCAGAGAAGACTTTGGTGACCTCTTCAGTGGTAATAAGTTCAAAGGAGTGGAGTGTTGAGGGGGCTTCAGTGTGAGGGATGTTAGGTGGGGTGGAGGTCTGAACAGTGGAGAGGCTGAGGGAGAGGGGTGATGAGGGGGTTCCTGTGTGAGAGGAGGTAGGTGGGGAGGAAGTTTGAGCAGCGGTGATGTCCCTGCAAATTGTGTCACTCTTGTTTTTGAAGTGATCGGCAATCTCATGGATGGTGAGTGAGGTGCTGGGTGGAGGTGGGGGTGGAGAGAGTAGAGAGTTGAAAGTAGAGAAGAGCCGGTGATGATTGGAGGAGAAGGTATTGATGAGGGTCAGGAAGTAGGCTTGTTTGGCTGCGTGGATTGAGGAGGTGTAGGTGTGGAAGGCAGATTTGTAGCGGGAGAAGGCTTGTTGGGATCTGGTTTTGCAAAATAGCGGCTCCAGCGCATGACTGCATTGTTTGAGAGTTTTGGTATGATCAGTCTGCCAGGGCTGGAGTGGTCGGGGTCTGATGCTTCATGTGGTTCAAGGCGCTAGCGAGTCAAGAGCGGTTTACAGTGAGTTGTTATAGGCAGTCGTGGCCAGGTTGGGGCAGGACAGGGGAAGCATGCTGTCTTAAAGTTTATCAGCTGCAGAGTGGAGGGGGGCAGGGTTCAGGTTGTGGAGGTTTTGGCTGGTAATAGTTTGACCTTTTGGAGGGGTAGGTTTTTGAGGACGAGGAGACGGAGAAGGTAATCAGGTTGTGGTCAGAGAGAGGGAAGGGGGTGTCAGTGAGGTTGTGGGGAGGGCAGAGATGGGAGAAGACAAGGTCCAGGATGTTCCCATCGGAGTGGATGGTGGATTGTATGCACCCATGTACCCATGTAAAAGATGTCCCATTTGCATACACAGTAATATGCCTAAAAATAAAATGGATTCTTTATCATCTACTACAACTGGAAAGACTTTTGATATCACATTTCATAACCTGTAATACCAGATATGCTGTATATCTCCTCGAATGTTCGTGTCGGAAACAATATATTGGCCGTACAACCAGAAGGCTACGTGACAGGTTTTGTGAACACTGCTATAACATTTAGAGGGGTTTCAGAGAGCATTCATTGTTAAGGAGGAGCCTAGCCACGCTGTGACGTCACGCCGCCGGATCACGGGGGGTCCGGCGGCCATCTTTCTTTCTCACTCGTCAGTGCATTAAACAGCTTCCTAAGCTATTTTCTTCTTACCTGGATACTCTGCAGTTTTACTGTTTTGGAAACTCTATTATTACACATTTGTGTACCTATTATATTATTATTTTGGATAACTTCCCAATACAATTTCAAACATACTACGCTAGGAGTTCCCATATCTTTTGTGCACCATGAGCACTTAAACCCCCCAGGACCCCAGGTGTGCTTCTCCAGCCCAGAGGAGGGATCCTTTTTGTGAGCAGACCCTTATACAGCACACCCCTTGAGGGACCTCTGACATCCTAAGCGCCCAGACCGACAGAGGATGTGATTTCTACACCAGGCTGCACCTCTTTAGATGGGAGAACCTCTGGCTGATTGATATGATTAATGTGCACTAAGATTGCGCTTTTGGTGAGTTTGCCAATCTTACCATTTTACCGCACACCACTGGATTATTATTGCCCACACTGGGGCCACACAGATTTATTGCAGAACTGTTCAATTATTTATTTATTTCAGGTACTATATAGCGCTGTCAATATACGCAGCACTTTACATATATATAGAACATTCACATCAGTCCCTAACCCTCAAGGGGCGTACAATCTAAGGTCCCTAACTTACATTCATACATACACATACTGGGGCCAATTTGGACAGGAATCAATTCACCTACCAGCATGTCTTTGGAGTGTGGGAGGAAACCGAAGTACCTGGAGGAAACCCACACAAGCACAGGGAGAACATGCAAACTCCATGCAGGAGGTGCCATCGAACCCATGACCCATTTACTGCAAGGCAGACGTGCTAACCATTAAGCCACTGTGCCGACACCTACTATTGGGAATCTATTGCTCTACACCTTATATCGGACGGGTATTATACTAATCACCCCAGGTTGCGGCTCTCTAACACACCCGTGCAGGCACAGTGCAACCAAATAGCATGCTGGAAGGACACGCGGTACACACAGGATACTAGGAACCAAGGTCACCTACTGCAGCAACCTAGGAAGGGGCTCCGGGGGAGAGGATGCAGGGAACACGTGTAAAGTGCAGGAGAGGGAGGGATGCTGAGCAATGGTGCAGAGAGAGAGACTCAGCAAGATGGAAAGGGCTGCAGGCAAACAACAGGAAACAATGCTGAGAAGGACACACACAGCAACAGGAAATGAGGGGATCCACGGACAGAAACCAAAGGGAATATAACTGCACAGCCAGAGGGAAAACACTGAGAACAAAGACAGGATCCAACAGCACACAGAATATGGGAATACTCAAGCAGCAGTGAACACCACAGGAACCAGAGGGGTGCGGCTTCCACATGAAGACACGTTGCTGGAACACTAACACACAGGTACAAAGACTTGATAATACCTAGGTTCAGGGGGGATAGGCAGGAACCCGAGCAACACGGACAGGAGGCAAAACCCGGTGCTGGATCAATGTGAAGGGAAGCATGACAAGTATGGGTGGAGGAATGGATTTAGTGTTCATGACCCACCTGTGCTGATCTCTGTAGGAGTGTCCTCCTCTATAAATGTCCCCGTTATTCCATCCTCCTCCATAGACTGCTGATCATCCCTCACATACGCCTCTTCTTCTTCTGCTTTCACCTCAACTTTTATATCTATCAGATCTTCACCCTAAACCAAGAAAATGAGAGAAGAGTTCATCTGTAAAATATAAGGTCACATAAAAAATCCATATATTGTCCCACGTCCATGCTCTCCGCGCCCCACCAACCTTGTAATGGTGAGGGATGGTGTGACCTTCCTGTGTTGAATCCCGGGAATACAGAGGACGGGGACATCTCTCTGGTGGGTTCCTGGTATTAGGTGGCTCCATCATATCCTTGTGTCCTTCTGAAAACTCCTCCATCACTCCATACTCCTCATCCTCCTCTTTATACTCTTCTTTAACATCAATATTATCATCCCCGAGGATTCCACTCTGAAAGATATAATAAAACATTCATTGTAACAAACATGCTGTGTATAAATCACAACTACCAATAATTGTCATCATCTACCTGATGATGGTGAGGGATGGTGTGACCTTCCTGTGTGGAATCCCGGGAATACAGAGGACGGGGACATCTCTCTGGTGGGTTCCTGTAGCTGGATGACTCCACCATGGTGTCCTGGTACAAATCTTTGTGTTCTTTTAGAAGCTCTGACTCCTCCATCCTCCCATCCTCATCCTCCTCCTCTTTTATCTCTTCTTTAACCTCAACTTTAGGATCTCTCAGGTTTCCACTCTGAATATATAATAAAAATGCCATCAATGGTAACAATGCAGATAATGTACAGATCCTAATGATACTATCAGTGATTGTTCCTCATCTACCTGATGATGGTGAGGGATGGTGTGACCTTCCTGTGTGGAATCCCGGGAATACAGAGGACGGGGACATCTCTCTGGTGGGTTCCCATGACTGGATCCATCTGTAGGAAACACACACAGGAGGGAGCCGGGTTTTCTCCTGGACTATACTGTGTGATGTCCTCATCTTCTACTTTCCAGTCTGGAGACAAAGTGAGACAATCCTCGGAGGTTTTCCTCATCTCCCGGCCATGGACTAAAATACAAAGACAAAGAGGATTACTAGACAGGAGCTGATTGGTTCCCCCAAACCAGGACTCCGCCCACATCAGGAAGCTTGGTCTCTGAGGAGCTTACAATTCCACCCTCAAGGGAACTAGGAAATGGCTCCTCTGATCTCCTACCACGAGGGGTCCCCACCCCCTCTA